CCCCCCCCTTCTTATACACCCCAATAAGCCCTTTCAATAATCTTTTTTTGGTCTCTCCAGGTGGTGTACTTTACAGCTACGTTCCCCTATGTAGTCCTCATCATCCTTCTTATAAGAGGAGTAACTCTACCTGGAGCTGGAGCTGGAATCTGGTACTTCATCACCCCAAAGTGGGAGAAGCTAATTGATGCTATGGTGGGCTTATTATTGCACTTATAACTCTGCTAGGGTGAATAATTCATACAGATTTCTTAACGTCTGTTGCAAGTGTTTTCTGTGTGCAGAGGCAGTATTGTCATCTGTGGAAACTTGTTCTTCACCTTACGTGGAGTGTTGTTGCAATGGGTGTTTGTTATTTGTGTGCACATAACATTTTTTAACGTGTGTTGTTATAGATACGGTATTTAATTCACATTTAATATTTCACCTGAATCTCTGGGGGTAGGTGCATTTGGAAAACAGGGAATTAAAAAGGAAGTGTAGATTTTCATGCGCTGGTGTCTGATGGATGCTGCCTTGACTTGAACAAGCACGTGAAGCTTTTAATAGGTAACATAACAAACCTATCTGCATTTCTTGAGAAATGCTCTGAATAGGTGTATTTTACTCATTGAGCAAAGATTGTTCTGAATAATGCATGAGAGACATTAGATTAAACAAAATCAAATTATACATCCGAATCGAACTCCCCAGTAGCATATCTACTGACACGGAAGAGCTGCCAGCACTATCCTACCTGCATTGTAAGAAACAAGGCTACTCGCTGTGCGGGAGAGGGCAGAATTGAGGGACTTGGTACCTGGCTTTGCTCTTTAAGCACTGACTGTATGAGATGGAGCTTCAGCTCTGCTGCCTCACTCATGATTTCCACGGATTTCTAAAAAGCCATTTGTTGCCAGTGAAGCCAGTAAAACATGTTCCAAAAATACACACGGATTTGTGTCAGTGTAGACATAAATCCACCCATGGATCATACATTTGTCTGACATGGCACACGAGCGCTCGCGTGTCGGTCTTAAGTGTCTTGAGGCAGGAGTCTGGAGCCTGAACTGAAGCCTGAGCTGAGAGTTACAATTCAGACTCTTTTCTTCAGAAATGTAAGCGGGATTTTTAGCAACACCTCAAGAAATGTACTGTTTGTTTTTGGTTCCCCCCTCCTTCCCAAGAAATTTTTTCCTCTATCAATAGCGGTGTGATATCACACTGATAGATTGATAATTAAAGCTGAAAACAATTTCCTGGATGAATTGTGCAGATCTTAATTTCCTTAATATCTCTGCAATAATGGGTATTTCGATCCTTTGGTGATGGGAGTATTAACTCTTTTGCAAACAATACAGAAATTAATTTTGCATTAAATATGAGCATTTTTGGATCCCACATTGTGCAATAAAGGAGGTGAGAACCGTTCCCTTTTGCAAAATGAGGCTGTCCGAATACGCTAAGTATCTGTATAACCCTGGGTAAGTGTTCGATAATGTTCAGGCGAGCTTCTGTTTTTAATTTTATTTGCAGTTTTAACATTAATTAAGAGCTGTATATTACGCTCAGCTAGATGAAGGATGGACTGCTTGCTGGCTGGTAACTTTTAAAGTACTGTTTAAGTAATATTTTCAAACTGGTTAGCGTGTGTATGGGTCCACCTGTATATCTGTGCCTGTGCATGTATCTCCATTTCTGCACTGTGGACTTGGGTGGAAAATCAGACTTTGTAGGAGAGCTTGTAAATAGAAATGCCAATGCTTCGAACGTTTTGCACGTGGTAAGTAAGACCAACTCCTTTGAAATTCCAGGCAATTTAGAAATGTTTTATCTAAATGCATTTAGGGCTTTGAAGAACTTTGTTACAGAACAAACAGTGCTGTTTGGTTGTTTTGTTTGTTTTTTTATTTTTAAGAGAGCCTTGGTTGAACATGTCTTTTCTTCTGATGGGAGGAAACTGGGCCCTGGTGTCTAAATAGCCCTAACTTACGCTATGCTGTCTGATGTACACCTAATGACAGAAATTTACCCTAATTTTTATGTAATCTCATAAGTAGCGCATCAAGCAACACTGAGGTTCTCACTTTTATCATGAAGATAAAGTATTAGTTAGGACCACTGGTGGATAAGCCATCAGCACCCGATGCAGATTTTTCCTCTTGATTTGTATTTTCTTTGCTGAATATATTTGAACTGATATGTATCAAGCAATATAGTTTGAATATTTGTGCCTTTGATATATAGTGAAGGTTATATTATCATTTTATATGGGCTCAACGAGAACAGTACTCCTCATCAAATGGGCACTATGTATTTCAGGGCAGGATTTTGCTTTTAAATGTTTTATTGACATCCATTGCTCTAAAGTTCCTTTAAACTACTTATGTGTTAATCCTCTGATAGTAACATTTAATAGTGTTATTGGTCTTTCTAGTGCTGTTTCCTGAAGCCGATGCTATTTCCTCTCCTGTCTATCTTACTTAGGTTTGGAAGGATGCTGCCACTCAGATTTTCTTCTCCCTATCTGCAGCATGGGGAGGTCTAATTACTCTCTCTTCTTACAACAAATTCCATAATAATTGCTACAGGTATGTGAGAGTGAAACCCATCAGCCTTATTAAACGGTCTTCTCCAAAAAACAGCTGTTTTCCAACTTGCAGAAATCCGGTTTGAAAGACCCTCATTCCCCCCCCCCTT